ATCTCACCAAGTGTTGTCGTTTCATCGCGGGTTCCAGCCCGCAAGCGTGAGGGGATCTGTGCCATCCAAAACGTGCTGCGGCTCATTTTGCATGCATACATGTGCTTGCCTCAGGCACCAGAGCACGGGTCATGAATGATAACCGTGCGACCTTTTGTTGCTGCCGAAACTTGAATCGCAGCGTAGCTGTGGCCCAGCCTTGCGGCCAAAATTCAGCGGGAGCCTTGCTTGCAAGATCTGTTGCTACTAGGGGAGAGACAGTGACAAAGAGAAGAAGACTGGACGCACACCGACAGAAAGAAGAAGAAAAGGAAACTTAGCGCGAGGTTGAGGATTCTTGAAGATGGAGCCCACATACCTAGAGTTGGACGATGCACGCCAAACTGCGGAGTTTGAAGCCCATGTGATACTTGTGCTGCATGGCCAACATAGCGCAATGTGTTTGCTAGTACTAAAATTTCGGGGATGATGTTTGAGCCTTTTTGTGGGAAATGTGAAGAGACAGACAACAGACAGAGCGCTACCCTTGGTATTTCTGGACATGCGATTGCAAGTGATGAGGATATTGTACATGCCTAGAGACGTGGGCAGATTTCCCCGCCCGTGCATACGGGCGTGCAGCACGAATTTCTGTCAGTGGACGCATCATGGACATGGATTCTGTTTCGATCCGATCGTGCTTCGGCGTTGAGTTCTAGTTTTTTGCCCTGGATCTTGACCTGGACATTGTGCTTTTTCTTATTACTATCCGATTCAGGAAATGACCGAACAGTTCAGCAAGGAAAGCTTAGTATCGAAGTAGTTTGGTTCGAGCTTCTTTGCTGGAGGGCTCTTGAAGGCTCGGTATCGCGAAGCTGATAGTTGTTTCAGCCTCTTCAGAAGATGAGCTCTTGGTGAGCTTTGTCCATCCCCGCATGAAGCCAGGCCTGGGTGATGAGGCTTCAGGACCGATTCGTGCACAAACGCAGCCCGGACGGAGATTATAGGGCTGCGTCTGCGAGCTTGACAGGAGTCGCGAAAGCAAAGGTAAGGTTCACCTCAGGTGAGAATGCCAACGACTCCCGACATAAAGGCAGAAGATTATTACAAGGCCGTTCAACCGTTGTCGTCCGCAGCCAACTGCGCTGAATACTCAACCGTTTGTAAAGCCTCCAGGTTTTAGGAGTGGATCGGAGTGCCTCCGACAGCGAAATTGCCAAAGCTTACAAGAAGTTGGCTTTGAAGTGCGCAAACCTTGGGTGAAAGACTGGCACCGAAAGACACGTCAAGCCTGCGTTCATGGCAGGTACCACCCAGACAAGAATCCTGACAACAAAGCTCAGGCAGAAGAAAACTTTAAGGCCGGCCTTGCGGCTCGCATTTTCTCACATTTTCTCAGCTTCATCGCTCGCAGGTCATCACAGAGGCCTACGAAGTGCTCCACGACCACGACAAGCGAAAAGCCTACGATCAGCCTCTTGGGATGCACGTCGCACAGATTAGCCCAGAGATGCCTAGAGTCTAGATCGCAAGTGCAGGTTTGGCAAAGCTGGCGTGTCCGGTGGGGCCGGAGGGCCGGGAGGAGGTGCCACGAGAAGATTTTTGCTCGCCTGCCGAAACTGTGACTCCTACACCAGCACAACAAAGCTGGCTCTGCACATGACAAACTACGAGCTACGAGCTGTTCAGTTTGCTCATTCTGCTGTGTTGTCGTTTGTTCTTCTCTCTCTGGCCAGTCTTGGGGCATTTGCAGGACCAGGCGTTTCTTTTCAGCATGCCGATGAGATCTTCAAGGCTGCGCTCCGAAGTAGAGAAGCTTGAACTTGAACCTTCGAAACTGCATATGCCGAGCGCCGATTCGATGAAGAAAGTTTCATTTGGCGTCCTGCGAGGCCTTCTTTGGTGCAGGGGATCCATTCTCATTTTTCGGGGGCGATGGCGATGACGACCTTGCAGGCAGCCGTGATACTTGTCTCGTGCATGGCTCTGTCACCGTGTCTCGTAAGCTGCAGGATTCTTCGGTGGCAAGGGTGGCATGTGCGGTCCTGAGCGGTTCACGAATGCTCCGCACTGCACAGGTCACGAGTCCCAAGCAAGTGAACCTGTTGGTAGCTTTGTCGGACAGTAGCATCGACAAGCAGGCCTGGCGGAGCTAGAGTCATCTTCAGGACACCAAAAACCGCACAAGTCTCATCATACGATTTGTGGTTGGCCAACCATCTTTCCAGCGCAGGAATGGCGGCATGCCGGGTCCATGCCTCAGGATCAGGATCATAGTTCTGCCCAAGTCATCAAGTCCGCCACGCACCTTTGCCCGATGGACATAAGTCCATCTCCCTGCAATAAGGCATGGGCGGAATGGGAGGCGGAATGGGAGGCATGGGCGGCATGCCTGGGATGGGTGGCGGTGACTTCGGCGGCTTTCCAGGCCTGCTTGCTTTTGCAACGTGGGCATGTATCAGGCATTGGTGCTCAGCCATCACGTTCTGCTTGGAATCATGAGGCTTCGGTGGAATGGGCATGGGCCCGATGGGCGGAATGATGGGCAAAGGCGCCGGCAAAAGCAGGCCTGACCGAGCTTCCAGTTGTAGATTTGAAGCCTCATGTGAGTTCCTTCGCATGGCTCAGGCCGGCCCCACCTGCCTGGGCCATGCCGGTAAACACTGCCGTAATCCCAGAAGAGATCACTTGGCTGAAACAGCGCAGGCTTCTGCCAATAAGTCTGGCCGATGCCGTGCGCTTCGCGTCAACTTAGGCCGTTGTCATCCACGGCCTGAAGTCGCCAGAGCACAATTCCAAACAAGGGACAGCCCCGCAGTTTGAAGATTGAGTGTTTCGGAGAAGACACATCCTTGGACAGGAAAGTCACGGCCTGGGATGACAGCAAAGGCAGATACGAGGTCCCATCCCCGCTTCTTCACCGGAGCGCAAGGGCAATTCTGTACAAGCTGAGGTCTCGCTGGATTCCGAGGAGGCCACACTTTCGCTGAGGCCCGGGGCCTGCGACAAAACATTTATCATGTGCAAAAAAGTCTGCGAACTGGAGCGTTGCATCAGCTAGTGCGAGCCTTCTCCACTGTCGCCAATTAGAGCTGTCATGTTAGCACGCAGTTCTCCCGACGGAGCATTCTCAGGCCTGCGAACCTCACGCAGAGATGCACGATTAAGATTGCCGGAGCCTTACTTGGGTTCCATGTGCGGTGATCGATCGATGAAACTCCAGGTCGGAATTGAATCGCAGCCCGACCTGTCGAAGTCTCAGTTCCCAGCTCCACAATCTAGATAGAGAGGGCCTCATCACCAAGGAATGGGAAGTCGGCGCAAATTCTGAGTTTCGACAAAGAGCAGGGAACCCAGAGCCTTCGGAGCGGAGAGGAGGCCGGCGCCAAGCATTGGCTGAACAGGAACTGGCGATACACAGTTCGACTAAAGGCCGCTTGGCTGCAACAAAACGGAGGCAACAAGGAGACGGAAAGTGCTTGATACCGTACACGAGCGACGAGCGGCCTGCAGTTCACATGCAGAGGAGCGACCCGCAAGTGGCCGGGATGCACTCGGCTTGCAGCCGAGCAATGTGATCCTGCCTAAGGCATGACCTGGACCCCGCACCCCAAGCTTTCTCAGCCGGGGGTCTGCCCCAGTTTTGTTTTTCAGGGAGCGGTGCACATGTAGAACAAGTCAACTGCTAGCGCACTGTTGCTCACGAAATTCTGTCGAGAAACACAAATCGTGCCTCAATCATAAAACTTGAGTAGAATCACGGGATGCCCTGGGCTGAAGCAGTACCGCCTGTACGTTGGAGCGACCATTCCGGAGAATCTCCGACCAAGATGAGAGCTCCTAGGCCCCGCGTCGTCAAGTTAATGCTTGCGGCCTCAATGCTGGTGACTCTGTAGACCAGACCCAGATCACATTTGTCAGCGCGGCTCCTCTTGCTTTGGATGTGTACAACATGACCTGCAGTGGCAGGGAACCAGAGTTGTTTTGGCAAACCTGGGCAAGGAGGAGTTCAATGGTCTGCCAAGACCCAAGAGCGTCAGCCATGTGTGAAAAATCCATCGCGGTCTGCCCTATTGCCCGGCCAAGGATGGCACACATCACGGACGTGCATGAAGATACATCCAGCGACCTGTCTGGGTTTCTCGTGGTGAGGTTGCCTCGGATGGACATCGTACATGTTTGCTTCGTGTGCTTACATGTCCAAGGATACGAAGTTGCATGCCAGAATGGGAAGGCCATCAAGATCAAATTCGAGAACGTCGTTTGCTAGCTGCTAGCCTCGTTGCCTGCGTGCCTTCCAGCCCGTCACCATTCGACGAAAGCGAAGTTGTTGTTGTTTGCAGAGTCTTAGAAAGCGGTATCATTCGAAGATCATGGGGCGGGCTGTGATGGCAATGCAGAAATGTTGACACTCAGACTGGCTGATTCTGCAACCGGTTTGCTCATGCAAGACGGTGGGAAGGCCAATACGACCATGAATACGACGTCAGGATGCACAATCACACCCCGAACACGACCAAGAAAGCCTTGGCGAGTTTTCATGGTCAGCAGAGATGACGCGGCTTGCGCCTCGCGACTATTGTCCACTCTTGCAGGCACGTTCTTGTGCTTTTCAGCAAATTAGTGCCGCGTGCTCTGGTTTGTTGATTCACATGCAAGCAATGCATCATATTTCTGATCTAGAAAAAGAGGAGACATGTCGGGATGTACCTAAGAGAAATGTTCTGTGACACTGGCATTACCAGTAAAGGACGCTGCATGCTGGAAACCAGGTTTGCCACACTGTCCGAAAGCAGGCTCAAGATGGTTTCAGCCCACGAAGCCTCGTGCTTCGGCCGTGCGAGGTTCAGTGTGGACAGCCTGAATCCCACGGGCTGGCCTAGGCAGCCTTTGCACCAAAAACTCGCTGACGCGCCTCACCGTGCAAAGACTGCAAGAAGTATTTTCTTCCACGCCGCTGAAAGTTTCAGCACATGCCCGCTTAGCTGCCTGGTGTGTTGCGCTTGCTGCTCAAGCATGGGATGTCGGCCATGGCTGCTGAAGGGCAAAAGGAAGGGGAGCTGGCGCCTCAGAATGAAGGCGACCGTTGACGATGCAGATGACTATGAACTTGGCAAAGGCTGGTCATCAATGCCTCTGGGGCTTTGGCTAGCAAGGTGGCGCTGCGTCGTTGTAGTTTCAGCAGTGCGCTTTGCGGATCTTTGCGGTGTGAACGGGCCTCGTCAACCCCCCTCACCCACCGTGAAGTGGCAGCAGAAGAGGATGGCAACTGGGGTCCCGAAGTAGATCAAGTCGTGTGTGGGACTCGGCAGAAGGGCAATACATTCGAAGTGGTCTTGTGGTGCAGAGAGTTCCAGGTCGACCGTCTGGCAGATGCTGAAGGATGCTAAGCCTGGATCCGAGCTCTCAAGCCCTGTCCCTGATCTCCGCCACGATTCTGCAAGCAAAACTCATCATCAAAGCGCAATATCGCTCCGACACTTGTCCTGATCAACAGAAGCAACAGCTAGACACGCCGCATGAAGCCAATTTCGCCGGCCTGAGGCACCTATTTCCTCCCACGGAATCCATGGTGCAGATTACTGTGAGGTTTGGCAGTTCGGCGCTCAAAGTCACGATGTGACCAGCTAGGCACTCTCTTTGCCCGACGAGGCCGGACTTATGTGATCACGGGCAAGGCGGGGGCCTTGGGGCCCACGGGCCCTCTTGTCCTGGGCCTGGGCATCTCCTGAGCTCCTGAGCGTGTCGAGGACAGCACCTACTATGTGACGAAGTGGACAAACTCCTGAGTGCTTAGGAGAAGTGTCGGGCCAGCCTAACAAGCTCCTGATCCAGGTGCCAAACGACGTACCTTGCCAGGCATGCAGAATGGCGAAGTGCATTTGCGAGAAAATGTGTCGTAAGTTGGCTTCCTCTGCAAGCAACGCAAAGCGTGCAGTAGGTGCAGCGCCCAGCCTGAAGTGCTATCAGAAGCAGAGTTTTGGCTCAAAGCCTGCAGCAAAATTCGGCATGCCCGGAAGGGTAAGCATAAAGGCATAAGTTATAGGGTGTTGGCAGGGGCCGAGACTTGTTAAGCAACAGAGCTGAATCATCAAAACCTTCTGACGGATGCAGTCTCCAGATTACCCGATGCCATGAAGTCGGGCGGTCTGTCCAAACTGCAGTCTGCAGTTTCTCAAGTCAAACAGGCTGTAAAGATTTGCACTGCTTTCGCATGCTGACATTGCTGACGAAGACTCGAGTTGAACATTCGGTCACGGGATGTGAGGTCAATGCATTGAAGGGGGACGCTGCGCTGGAGGAGATCTGTATGATCTGCTTGATTGAAGGATCAACAAGAAACCGAACCGTCTTTCTTCAGACAGGACTCTCCGACAATCAAGGTATGTGTCCGAGTTCGGCCGTTCATCAAGGAGGAGGCAAGAAGAAGACGGTGGAATTTGCTCGAAAACTGGGTGGAACGGCGCTGAACATGTCTGTGCCTATGCTTTCTCTTGGCCTTCATTGCTTTGAAACGGACATTGTAATCGCGCTGTATCTGCTGCCAAGCCCCTTGCTGTCCTGGCCCAGACCCTGAGAAAAAGCGTCTAGTGCATAAATGCAGACAAGAGATGCTTGAAGATTCCTCCCGTGGGAAGTGGCGCAGAAACCAACTTCCTTGCAAATCCTTGCATCTCGTGCAGCATTTTGTTGGAAAGCCGCGGCAAGGTGGAGGGGCAGCGATCTGGCGGAGAATGCAAGCTTTGTGTCGAGATGCCGACGCTCTGCAAGGGTATGCAAATTCGGTTTAACCTAAGGCTGTCTCGAAAGGCTGTCTCGAGGTGGCTTGCAAGGCCCTTGCCGACCAAGGACAGAGACATCTGTGAGGATGTGGAATCCTGAGGAGATTGAAGAAGATATGTCGCTCGCATGAGATTTCAAGCTTGATACCAATTTTATGCTGAGAGCTTGGAGGACGTTCATGTCTGTGCAGCATCGCCCGCATCCGACCAGATGCATGCTTGTTTCCTCCTCGCAAGGCGCGGCTTCGAATTCGACAGTCGCCTGGCCGACGATCTTCCAGTGCTACTGCGAGGTTTCAATTTCAATCTTCAGCTGCTTGGTCGATCTGTGCTATTCCGATGTCGGGGGCGCCGAGGATGCTACTGGTCGCACAGCTCAGACAATCCTCTCTATGCCACGCAGGAGACACTGCAGAAGGACTCCTGGGGGTCTGACGGAAACATGGGCTTTATGAAGTTCCCTGGGTGCCTGCCTTGACCGGCAAAGCCAGGAGCTGGGAGAGACGATGCCGCTCAGCAAAGACACTTTGCGACCCGTGTGTTTCTGATTGTTTAAACCGCCGGGGCGTCTTTGACAAGCATTGCGATTTGAGCTGCTGCTTCGCTGGGGGCGCGGGCAGCTGGTCAAAAGCTGGGACGTGCGCCTGTTCAACACAACCCCTAAACGCACGGAATAGTAGTGACAACAAAGGCTAGAGCACGCCATGAACGGCTTCAACAACTGCATCTTCGCCTATGGCCAAACAGGCAGCCAGGGCCTCAAAGGACCCAGGACCGAGCCAACGAAGCCACGCCGGAAGAAGCCACTCTGCGGGCCAGGGGGGCTGAGGCGGCAAGTCCTACAGCGTGCTTGGCGGCAAGGGTGAAGAGCGGGGCCTGCTTCCTCGAGTCGTGGAGGGGTGTCTCGGCCGCACATGCCCGAAGGCTGCTTCAAGCCCTGTGCTGGCTTTCACTTCTAATAAAGACTGTTTCAGGTTGTTCGATCACTTCGAGAAGCTTCCTGAGGACATCAGCATAATCTCACGACCGAGTTGCAGTTTGTACACTGACTGCTCTGTCCAGCCAGGGCGCTACATACAAGACTCTTGTGCCTCAGCTAGTCTGGAACATTGCTGCGGGCTTTGTCCAGGGCAGGCGTGTGCGAAATGCAGCTGAGTGTCAAGTCTTGAGGGGCCGAACCCTCTCGAGAGCCGGAATTCATGTTTAGGATGATTCGTCAGGATTTAGGGTTTAGGGTTCAGTCTTCAGACAGACCGGTGCTGATTTCGAGGGTCCACGGGAAGATGGTGTGCAATTCTCAAGGTTGCGTTCATGGAAATTTACAACGAGCAGATCCGTGACCTACTGGCACTTCGGCTGCACGTGCCTGGCGAGACGATTTCGCAGCGAGTCAATCAGTGAGTCAGGCAGACTAGACGCAGTCAGCAAATGTTTTCGCGAGGCACCTGCCACAGACAGTGAAAACAAGAAGCTAGAAGTGAAGCAGCACCCGGTTCTTGGAACCATTGTGCCAGGCAGTGTCCAGTGTTTGTAATCGCATGTAATAGCATCAGATGCACCTGTGCGACTTTCCGACGAAACTGCCAGGTTTGACGGAGGCTGCGGTTGCATCCTGTGAAGAGGTGCTAAACCTGGTGGACTATGGCACACAGATGAGGCGCGCGAATGCGCAGTGCACCCTGGGGCTGCTGCATGTTCTTGCGGGCGTCGCTTTGTGGTCCTTGGCCAATCCAGGCATGTCTCGGCTACGGCGATGTGTCTCGGTCACATCGTGATCTGCAATTAATGCTTCGGTAATATGCCACCGAAGGTGCATGAGGCAGAGTTAAGTACCGTTCTGCATTCTTTTTCTGCCTGCATTCTTATTCTGCTCAGGAATGCGACAAGCAGCAGAAGCCTACCCCTCAAAAACGCCATGCTGATCCTTTGCAAGAGGCTAAGAGGTCTTGGGTGCCCTTTGCTACAGGCCACTGCATCTTCACCTTCAAGACTTCACTAACAGAACCAGATCAGCCATCGAAGGTTTCGCAGAATCTTGTCATGCATGTGGAGTGTTTTCGGCAGAGCAGCAGAGCCCGGCGAGACCGGAGAGCCCGAGGACCCACCTGGTGGATCTTGCGGGCTCAGAGCGCGCTGGCCGAACCAAAGCCACGGGCGACAGGACTGCGAAGACCGTGACAGAGTGCTTTGCTGAGTCCTAGAGCTGACACGTGCGGCCGCCTTCACGTGGAGAACTGAAGAACAGCATTGGGATTCGTAGCTCATATCCTGAACGCAGCCTAAATTGGTGGTGCAGGCTCAAGGAGGGAGCCGCCATTAATCAGAGCTTGTCAACTTTGGCCAGGACCGGACCGGGTTGGTGACAAGAGTTGGCTCAATGTGGGACATGTCAATGCGGGACTCGCAGGGTCATCTCCGAGCTGGCGAAGTCCTCAAAGACGAAGAAGAAACCCAACCCTCCTTTCAGGGAGTCGAAGTTGACCTACATTCTCAAGGAGAGCCGTTTTCGGGCTACTTCAACGTCAGACTTACGTCCATGCTGCTTCGGGCTCAGGAGTCCCTGTGTGGGAACTCCAAGACGGTCATGATGGCGGCCATCTCTCCAAACTTCCTGGACTTCGAGCCTGGGACCAAACGAGCCTTAAATGTGGGACCTCAGACTGACGTTAAGATCTGCGGCGTAGGGAATCCAAGTGGGCCTTTCGAGCACAAGCCGATGTGATAAGCCTAAGCTGCAACAGTCTGAGTGCGCAGGGATCTGGCCGGTGACTGGCCAAGGACGAGACTTTGTCGACGTTAAAATTCGCACAGTCCGTGAAGCAGGTGCAGACGAAGGCACCGTGGGTGCATGAAACATGTCTGAACGGATATTCCGGTAAAGACAGGTGTTTGTGTGTGTGTGCATGTTGTGCATAGCGGGTTTTTTCTTGTGAGCATGTCAATTCTGCTCCCCCTTTCGAAGCCCTATGATGTGGGTGAGTCGGTGAGATCCTGAGTTAAGCAACACCACATTCTAATTCCTACTTGTATATATCTATATATCTGGTATGAACTCTGATTGCTTGACGTTGCCAGGCTGTTCAAAACGTGTCCTGGATGCGACAGAAGTGTCCGAAGTTGAGGGAATCCGGAGGCATTTGGAGGCATGGGGTCCTACAGCACAAAGCAGACTTCTCTGCAGATAGCGTGCTCTATGCCTTCTTGCTTCCGTGTCATGAGCTGCAAACAGGTTTCCGAGCGCTGGGGGCACATGGCAACTCCATGGGCCTTAAGTTCTTAAGTGCTTCAAAACGGCATTATTCAGCTTCCGTCAGCTTCTGGTAATACTTCAGATGCCAGCAAGACTCCAAAAAATGTCGTGGCTGTTGTATGCGAGTGTATGCATGCGTTCCTGTACAGTATATGTACACACATACACAGGGGCGTACGATTACATAAGCAGGTAAGTGTTCATCGCTAGGGGCTGTTTCTGTATGCACCGAGGCGGTTAACATGTCCAGCGTCGAGGCACAACTCCGTGCCGAGCTGAATGCATTGCTGCTGGGACAAGTTTAAAATCGGTCACAGCAGCCATGTTGCATCAAGTGTGGGGTTGCGGGCACTGGGGAGCGGTTGCTTCGCAAGTTATTTGGCCATAGTAGGTATATCACGGTATATTGCGAAGGTGCTTCGTGTATGATGAGGCATGACTGTACGATAATTTACGGCAAGCCTGTCAAGCAGCGAATTCAGGAAATCACAGCTAAAGATGTACGAGGTGGGCTGTCCCCCGATGCAGTTGCCGACTGCGACAGACTCGAAAAGCTTCCGCAGATGAATGACGAATCGAACAGTCGTGACCAGGATGGATCCCCCACTTCTTCTGCCAACGTCTCCTCCGAGGAGTTGGTGTTCTTGAAGAGGTGTGACCAAATATGTCTTTGTGTTTTTTCCGGCCTAAGTTCACAGTTGTGAAGCCCTGAGGCGTCTGGAAGAGCAGGAACAGTTCTGTGCGTACTACGGCAAGGCGACAGACTGAGTTCAGAGAGCTTCCCTGCCTTCACCGGAAATACCTGGCACCGTGAGGATTGGGACAGCCTTCTCGCCGAGGAGAGGGAGCGAAACTTGGTCTGAACTTGGGCCAGGGCGAATGCATTTCTTGCCTGCGGAGTCTACTACTACGATGTGTGTGTGTGTGTGCGTGCGTGTGCGTGTGTGTGTGTGTGTGTGAGGGTGTGCGAGAAAGAGAGAGCATGCTTCTGATGCTGCGAGGCATGGACACCCGGAGTCACCAGACTGCAGGAAGCACACGGCTTCCCAGAGGGATTGCAGTTTTACCCATTGCTATCTCGCAACTCCTGTAATTGGTGACCATTTTTCTTGTTCCATCAGACCTGTTGAGCCAAGGGACGTCCCTGCATCCCTCCAAATTGGGTGACAGGGTCAAGAAGTCTCCGTCAGACAAGCGGCAGGAGAGCACACGTCTGGGGAAATCAACACTGCAAGAACCTTCAAGGCTTCCTTCGTCGATGTTGGAAGAGCGGAAGTCTTAAAGCCTGTTCTAGACTCGATCGGTGGTGAGGAGCTCACTTTGTATCGAAAGTGCCGGTCTCTTCGCTTGTTTTCAGGACCACAGCTCCGATGCATCTCGTCGAGAAGCAGAAGCACATAGAAGCACTGATAAGTTTCAGAAGCTTCTTCAAGTCGTGTATCCAGTGAGATGGCAGTTGCTGTGAACTTTCCTGCAGCAAGTCAGTGCCAGCGCCCACATACAAAACCTCGGGTTGTTGCATAAGTTGCCGAAAGGCCCTGCACTATGCATCTCATTTTGTGCAGATTCACTCGAGGCTGAAGACTGTGTCCTGCGTGCAGAACTGAGGAGGATGCAGATATGGAGGAGGATCAGGAGTCCATCACCTGCTCCCTGCGACTTGGCTAGATCAACCTGAAGGCTGAAAGCCTCACATCACAGACACCGTTCGAGGTTGGAGCTCGGCAAGCCGCCCGACGTGTTGCCGCCAGGAGGGTATCTTGGACGATCTTGAATAGGATTTGCAGGAAGGCGACGGAGGGAAGCTCAAGTCCGCAGCCGCTGACAAGGAGACCGTCTTTGTGCGCGCCGATTCGACTCTCTGCTTGCTTCAGTGTTTCAGACCAGGCATTCGGCGAAAGAGGAAGACAGTTGCTTGCAATACTCCGGAGAGCTCAGGCAGCTCGTTGGCGGTGGTGGGGCCGATGGCTCAGAGCCTTCTCAGGGAAGGTGCACGGCCGCGTGCAGAGAACCTGAACAGGCGGGGACCTGTTTGAACTTGCGCAGGTCTGTGGTCGGGCCGCTGTTGCGAGTTTCGAAGTGCTGTATCATGGGGTCGTCTTGAATGCTTCCTCTCGGTTTTGTGTCGATTTCAGTCCGATCGAAGGCTGCCGTGCAGGATCTGATTTCTTGTGTGATTGACAGGCGGAGGCATTTCGAACAGGCTTTAGTTCGTCACGGTTTTGGCTTGGCGTTTGCGATGCTGATATTTTTCGATTTATGGGTTTTCGTGGGGCTATCGGTCATCTGCGGTGACAGACAGTTCGGAGTCAGGTAGTGGGGCCAGACAGGAGTTTGATCTTGAATCGATTTCGATTCTGTTCTGCCTCGATTGAATCTTGGGTCTACTCCGGCATGATTTGGTGCGCTCGATTTTGAAGATGCACGTGCACATGCTCATATGACTGTATCAACACGTTGTCTGATTCACCTCCCGGTGCTATCCATGTTGCAACGAGATCACATCCAAGCTCCGTCGAATGGGAACTGTAACCCTTACTCAATACTCCGAACTCGAATGCGGGCATTACTTCTACCATCTTCTACCAGTCCTCTTCTAGGAGTCATGCTGGAGGGAGAGAGAGAAGAACACACTCAAAAAAAAAGAAAGTCTGTGACAGGCTCCAAGCATTTGACGGATTCGCCTCAGGCGCCTGCTGGAGCTTTCGCAGTTGGCAGAGGAGACCCAGGAGCTCCTAAACCGCGAAAACGGAGGCATCACTTTTTGAAAGGCTGCTGGCTCCCTTGCTGTGCGCTGCACATGCCGCACTTTGATTTGTGAGGCGAGATGTCGATTCAAGTCCTTGTGGTGGTGGATCCGCTGGACGAGGAGACCTTCGAGGCTGGGCCGTGGAGGTGCCCGCAGTGGCCCTTGCCCATCTTTGGATGGATGCCTGTTCGAGGCGGGGTTGGTGGTGCAAGCGGCCTCCTCGAAATCTTTACCGTCGTCCTGGGCATGGTGACTTGGATGAACTTTGGACACTTTGGACGAACTTGGATGAAAGGTGTTCTGAGTCTGGAGCGTGGCCTTGAGATGTGGCCAGGCCGCGCAACGAGTCTTCCGAGGCCGTGGCTACGTTGCAGTCTGAAAGTCCTGAAGGCCGCGTAGCGCACGTCGTATTGAGGCCAGCGAGACTGGAGAAAGGAAGGTGGATTGGTGCTCTGCGCACCTTGGTTTTGCAGGCCTAAGGGCCGGTGTTCGTGATGTGATGTCGGTCGGCCTTGGGACCTCTGAAAAGCAACTCCTCGGCATTCGGCACGGGACTCAGGACTGAGCTCAAGAAACGGCTGAACTGGCTGAAGTCCAATGTGTGCCCTGCATCCAATTTACCGAAGCTGCTCGGTGTTTGCCTCCTTGCTCCTTTGCTTTTTGGTAAATACAGTGGCGCTCAGGTCAAATTCCACAAGAAGTGCAGAAGAGACGTGGCTTGCAGCGGCACGAGCCACTTCCGGCACCTTGGCACAAGCACGAAGCCATGGCGCCATAGTGGCTCGGTCCCACGACTCCACGTTTCTGCTGCCTCCCAGCAGGGTATGATGCGCTGGAAGCTCTCCAGAAAGACAATGCAGCGATGGATACTTGGCCAGAGTAGTCATGTTCGAAGGTCTTGTGCGGCAACTTTGGTTTGTTGCCTTCGCCAGGTGGCTAAGATTGCAGAGTTGGAGTCGAGGCGGTCACTGCGTCTGTTTCTGTTCGTTTCGTCCTCCCATCGCATGGTGTGTTTCGTTTGCGCCAAGCTGCAGCATGAAGGCTTAGAGAAGCCGAAGGTCCACGCAGGGCTGAGAAGGCCAGGGTGTAACGTGGTGTTGCCATCGAAAGCTCCCTGAAGAAGCGCTTTGGTTCAGGAAGGGCCCAAGCTTCGCAGCAACTCAGATGCAGGGAAATGCACTAACCTGCCGAAACCCTGACCTATGCAAGCCTGTCCAAGACCTCTCCAAGGTCAAAAAGCAAGGGATGCGGTCAAAGCCATCGCAGCCAGCTTCGAGACTGTAGCAGCCCCAGTGCATTTGCAAGATTTGCTTCCGGGTCAGGAACTGGTTGTGCACACGTCTGAGGCCCTTGGAGCGATCGATTCCGCCCAGCTCACTTTGCAAAAAGTCAACAGTACGAGCGTCTGATCAGCTCGAATAGAGCGGATGTGATGCTTCTCATGCTACGGCAATGGAGGTGTTCGAGCTTGTGTACATATTTCGTAGAGCGCATGAGCACAAACGTGCTCTGCACATTTGTCATTTCCAATGCCTTCGACACCTAGTTAATGCGGCCAGCTGCGGAGCTCTTGAGGCCTCTGCAGGCAGTTTACATAAAGGGATCCAAACGCGACACGGCCCCCAGAGATCCGCAGAGCCTTTGAATCGCTTCCAAGTACACATGAGCGGCGTTTTGCAGAAAAGTCTAAGTCTACGTCTTTGAAGTGGTGGTACTCTTGTAGGAAGGTCCTCACCTGCCGCGTGATGCCTTCTATATCTTGTGCTCTTGCAGGAGCCTAGGGCTCGAAGGTCAAGCTTTGACAAAATCCTTGTCCATCGAAGTGAAGATGAGCCAATCCAGAGCACCCTGTTGTACTGTACCATCTCAGCGACATCCGACTCGAAGAAATCTTTCGGACTGCAGCAGCTCGGCAGCGCAACATGCACTCCGGCGTTTTGAGTTGCGCCGCAGAATAAGTATTTAAGTCCTTTAATGCCGGGGCCTCGGCACAACAGGTGGGAAAGAACGAAGCTTTGTTTTTGAAACACTCGATGGAGGCTTCTTGTCAAGCCTGCGCCCAATGGTGATGCGGGCACTGACGGTTGGGAGCTCGTGGGAGCTATGGGAGACTTTGAGCTGGGAGCTCAGACTGGATAGAGTGACGTGGAGGGACTGCAAGAGTCCGCAAGCAAAGGAACCGTGCGTCGGCTTTCATCTCCCAGCAGGACGAACAACTGCAGCCTGAGCCTTAAAATCGCCAAAGCTGAACTTTTCTGACTCCACACTCCACTGCAATCGGTTGCAAGATGGCAGGCCAGTGCTGCGAGAAGTCACGTGACCGCAAGACGCACACAGCCCTTGCGTGAGAGCCGAGCGATGGATGCCAGGTGTTGCAGCTCTCGCGGCTGGCTGTGGGAGCTTCCACAGGATCCTCAGAGCTCTCTGCGCTAGCGGCGGCCCGGCAGCAGTGGCAAATCCGTTGGAAAACGCGACTGTTCCCCCAGGCTCGCCCCATGCGCCGTGTATTTTTCTGAGGCCAAAGTTCGCCAGCTGGCAGCAAGCAGACCCGGCCTCAGTGGCGACTATCCTCTGCCACTTCCGACACCACAGGCGATGAATCCGACACAGACTCAGCACACCAGGCACAGCTGCAGCCCCACTACTGGCAGCTGTGGACTTGCATGGTCTGGTCGAAATCTCAGGATTGCGCCGTTAGATGGGTTTGCTCGCTTGCGTGGCTTCTTCCCTGCTTGCAAGCATCTCACTAAGGGGGAGTGCGTGGCACGCCTACCCGGCCGGTCAGTCCACACACTTTGCCATTGCATTCTTAATTATACTTTATCCATGTGTGCCGTTTGATTGCAGAGCAGGGCTTGGTGCAAAGGATCATGTGCTCATCTTGTCTGCTTCACGTGTGCTGGCAGCAAAAAGTTGGATCTAAGGAAATGTTGACCGAAGATATCTGTGAAGCCTTTCGTCGAGTGGTGGAGATTCGCAGCTGCCAAGCAGTAGCCCGCAGATTCCAGGAGCCTCCGAGTCGGGCGTAGAACAGATCAGCAGAGGTCAAACTGTTGATGATGGAGTCTTCTGCAGTATGTGTTCAAAACATGGAGGGGTGCAGGGCCGTGGTGTTTCTGATCTTGAAAGTTGTACAGAGGTTGCTGATGAGCTGTTGTATCTGCTGGCGGGTCGCCGTTTGTCTGTCAAGTTGGGGTTGGAGAGTCAGCAGCATACAGTATGCCATCGCGAACCCAAGCTCAGCATTGCCTCCACCGCTTCCATTTCAAAATCCGAAAGCAGGTCGTGCGGGATTGAAGCCCTGCAGAAAGGCGAACAGATAGCGAGGTAGACGGGACGAAAATCGCTTCCAGCAGAAACGAGGGGCGAAGGTGTGATTTCCTCGTTCTGAGGATCTCAATGAGGCAGTTCTCGGATGCGTATAGCTTCTCAGTGTTGGCTGAAGGCTTTCCGTCCTTCGCAGAAAGCACAAAATGCATAAAGTTGTTTGTCATCTTGTCTGCTGAGCAGAGATGCCCGACACAAGTTTCCAGTTTGGTTGGCCTTACCCAAGAGAAAAAACATAGATCCCACGCTTGATTGATAATGGCCTCGCGGCAGGATACGGACTTTGCTCCCCTTCTCGATGGCAATGAGCAGTGGCGTGCCGAGCTCGACTGCTGGAGAGCGCTGCTGGCGCCCTTCCCTTGGACCAATGCTCGGGCATCGGTCATGAGCCGCTCCTCTTGACCTGGCGTTCTGAGCTGCTCTCAGCTCTTCCGGTGGCGCCTGAGTGAGGTCAAGTGCTTGCTGCGGCAGACCTCTCCGAGCCGCTGACGATGCATCCACAACTCGTGCCCGAGAGTGCACTTCTTGCGTAGTCTCTCTGAACGTTCTTGATCTTAGGGGTTTTAGGGGTTGAAGCGGGCATGAAAACCACCTCGGCCAGAGACCCTTGTGACGAGGTGCGCTCTTTCGAGATACTTCGTTGCTTGGGTGCCGACCTGCTGGACAATGACACGAAAGGCCCTCGTTGTTGGAATCGTGGTCGTTGGCGGTTTGGCGCCTGACCTGGTGCGGCCCTGCCTTCAGGTTCGGTGGCGAGACTGCAGCGGCACGGCGAGAAACTGGCTTGCTGGGCAAGCACGGAGATCACAGAGAACACGTTGCTTGCGTATCGGCAGAGCGTTACTTGTCTGGAAGATTGTGCAAGCTCAGGGTCAGTAGGCTCGCGTGGTAAAGACGGCACTGCTCATGCCAGCCGTCTTGTGTGAAGTTCGAGAAAACTTAAATTCTGTTAGCTCCTGGGCACTGCTTTTCGCCGTGCCAGAGCCCAAAACGATGCGCCCTGAACCACAGCCGTTGTCGCCCTGTGCGTTCGCACAGTGAGGCTCTCGTGAAAGCTTTTTGATTAACTGATGCTGCTGCTGCTCATGGGGCACGCCTGATCCCTTGGGGTTCAGGAGCACCTTCGGCTCTAAATGCTTCCTCTGGGCACTGCCGCGATGAGAAACCAGACAGCAGCGGCTTTACAACTGCGCTTCGACTGGTTGCCTGTCGTGCCGCCGATCGACAACCCTAACATTCCAGGCACTGAAATTATAGAAGGATTTCGTCCTGGAACTAGCCGCACGATGATGCTGGCTGGCCTTGGGGTCTCGGCGGCGGGGAGTAGTTTGCTGCGAAACAAAAAGACAACGCACGCTTGCAAGCTCTGCATGTATTGATCTGCGTTGCCGATACCTCAAATCGGCAAGACTTCGCAAGCTGGCAAGATCCAGTCTTACATCGGAGAGAGTCTCCTGTGCTCGCCACTCTTTCTCCAAGTTTCCAGCGGATTCATTGCCGTCTTTGAATCCTTGTTTCTGTGGCTGATGGACCACCAGCCCTGAACCCCGGAACCTAGGCCTCTGCGCATGGATGACACGCACAAATCTCGGTATATACCGTACAGACCTCCGGAAAAGACCTTGACGAGGGTTTAGGTTGAAGGGGAGCGTGACGGGTGCGCAGGGCTGGGAATCAGGAGGTGTGCGGGCCTCGAGGGTTGTCTGTACTTTTTGGAACGGCCTAAAGTGATTTTTCCATTTTGTCATGCAGAGCACGTCGACGGAACGCTTGTCATGCCTCAGGTAGGTCGCAAGGAGAGCGATGTGGTGTCGCTCAAACCAGCAGAGGCAGCTGAAGAAGCTGCACAGGCACACAGAGTTTTTGCAGCGGTACTTGTAGGGTACTTTGGAGCTGCACAGCAAGGCTTCATCATACAAAGATTGAGCTTTGCACATGGCCACTGACTTTGTCTCCGCAGGCCAGGGGAGCACTCGACGCCGCGGCGAAGAAGCTACTCAGTAGAGATGAGACTGGAGTGAAGTTTGGGTCGGTGTTGACTTCATTGGCGAGCCGAGAGAGTACTTGCGATCAGGCAAGTTGGAACCATTTAGGCCCCTTATGGTTGCGCAGGGATGGCTTTTTTCGGGAGGTGAGTTGGTGGCAACACTTAGGATCCCATATAGTTCCAGCATGTTCCAGCAGTGCCCGTTGCCCGGACTGCCCGCACCTGTCCATCCGGCTGCTGACTGGACCTGTGGGTTTTCACCAGGAGTCACAACTGACCGCCACAAACCAAAAGTCCCGTCTGAACATGGCAAGCCGGGGACCATGGCTCAAGCGCAGTTGCTTTCCGCCGATTTCCATTGAGGCTTGGCTTCGTCCCATCCGCACTCAGGGGCCGAGTGCCAACACTAGCGACACCTGATCGCAAGAAGAGAAGAGCTGTTAATTTTTTGAGGCATTTCGGGGGTGCAAAGGGACCAGGGCAGGGCTCGGGAAGGCCGACGTGTTCCATCTGCCTACTAGCTTGTCCAAGCTTCGGGAAGCCGTGAAGCGTGGAGCAGCGCGGCGTCATGTGGCGTCCGGCGACTCACGAATGTATGGGCCTAGGCTCGTCCGCTTGGCCGCGTCGCGGCCCGAGTGTATCTTGCTGCCGGTACGGCAGGAATGGGAATGCTAGATTGTTGTGGCTGAGGCGAGTACTTCGTGAGGTGGACGAGGCAGCTTTGCCACCAGATTCTTGGTGGCAGGATCTGACGATCAACTGGCGTTGATGGTTGTTTTTTGAGGCATGCTGCAACACTGTGACACGAGTTCAGCACGGATGCATGCGAGGTAGTACGGCAGCAGGTAGTAAGGCACGGAGAGAACCTAGCATGGTGTTTGAACATTTCAATCTGCAGTACTGTCCCGGTCGAGGTAAGTTCTGCACACTGTGGATCAAGTTGTGATGTTTCGACTCAACCTCCACCATCCCCTCCTTTCGTCGGTGCATTTGTCCCGCATGCGTCCACTGGTTGTTGGACTTCAATCCCCCTTGCTTTCCGTGACCGGGATGTTTTTGTGTCGTCAGCATCAGCAGCAGCCGTAGTGGTCCAGTAAGTTACAGTCGTCCTGGTGGGTGGTGCTGGCAGTGGTGGTGGCAGCAGCAGCAACAGTCAGAGAAAGAGGAGCGGAGGAGCAAGAGGAAGAGCGACTGCACATGAGCCCAGGCGGGACAGGCCTTGGCTCGTCAGCTTGTGGGGCCCAAACAGCCGGACCCGGCCCCTTGGTACATCTCGGTACTTGGAGCTGCGAGGCTGAAGTTTCATTGTCAGAGGTTCGCGTTGAGCTGAGGCAATCCGAAACTCGATCCTACAATTCTTGCTACGTGTGGCTCAGGAACTGCTTTCAGTCTTAGATCACTCTTTTCTTGCTGAGATTCCTGATAGAGCTGACAGAGACTTTGTCCGCAGCCTCCTGAACATCATCGCAGGAGTTCTTGACGCGAGCAACTTCCAAGCCCAAAACTCTCTGCTTGAACTTCGAGCTTTTGGCTGATACCTTACAGCTGGGACGTGTGTGCTGGTTATGTGATGTGACGACACCATTTTGCCAACAGATCCTTGAAGGGCTGACACGGGCGATTCCGTCATGAGACCTCAGGCTGGTGGATCGCCCAGCATGCAACTTCTGCGCGATCTTGAGATCCTCACTTCAATGGCCGGTTCACTTTGTGCAGAAGCTGCGATCATGAGAGATCGTTGCTCAGGACTCATCCGTCCGCCCAGCTCGTCCTCAACAACATGGCACTGTCGGAGCTGCTGCAGGCTGCTCTTCTTTGAGGTGCGCTTTCGCTGATCGCCCACGAGACGGTGCTTTTTCAGGTGATGTCTCGCATCCTTGAAGCTCATCGGATGGTGCACGGGGAGCCTCGCCTGCATTTCTATACCTGCTCAGAGACACGGCATGAAATGGCTTTGTCGCACTCAGGAGAAGGAGCTGCCGCACGAGGCTCTCCGCCGATGGTCCTCACGCACAGCAGCGGCAGCTGTGCCGCCGCGAGAGCTGGCCTCGCCTGCTGGCAGAAGCTTGGGATGGAGCACTTGTGGCGGCATTTGCAGTACTCTCCGTACATGTTCGCCTCGCCCAAGGCTCAGCGCGGATCTGGAGGATTTCCTTAAGCAGATGCTTGTCTGAGCTTCAGCTTTCGCGGCATGATCATCATAATATTTCTTTTGGCAAGTGTGCTCATCGGGGCTCGCCGCACAGCTTTTGACAACATGGCCCTGTTGCGCCAGCTGCTGAGAAGACATTCTCCGGAGTTTTTCTAATTTTTAGTGCATTTGCGCTTGCATTTCCAGAGGCACATTCGGACATCTGATGCAGCGTGGCTCCTGCAGTAGTCAGTATGGTGCTTGAAACCATGTGAAGGTATCACACCTGCAGCACATGGTGGTTGTTGACATACATCAGTTGCAGTTGCAAGAGCTATTTCCTGCGGGGCTAGGTGCCTTCTTTCTGCATTCATGCGACAACTGTCCGACCAAGTTCTTGGCCAAGGAACCATGCGGCGCGACTTGCAGATCTCGACGAATCCCTGGCCTCCTGCGCTATGCGCGCGCTGAACTGTTTGGGAGAAGGCGGTGGTAGGGATGGAGTCAGGCGTCGCAGTCGTGGTGTGTTGGCTCTCCAGTTGCGAAGGCTTCGGATTCTGCGTCAGTGCAGAACTCTAAAGAGCCGTGCTGGCGCAAGAGCAACCAACTGTTTAATCCTCTCAAAACCAAGTCATACCAAGTCGGCTGACAGGCAAGGGGAGGGCAGATGGCACAGGCCTGACTTGCAATGCAGGACATGCATCCGAAGCATTTTTGGCTGAAGAGGATAGAAACAGACTTTGACTGATCGGTTTTCAGCAGTCTGAGCGGCACGGCGAGATGCAGCTAACGAGCCCGCGCAGGACAAGACTGAACGGGGTGCTTTCTACTCGTTCCGGGGCCCAGCTTTGGATCCAAATATCGGCGCTCATCTTCCTTACCTTCTCGTGCTGGATTTTGATTGTGCACCGCATCAGTCCGACCGCGCGCGCCTTGTCCCGTGACACGTTCATATCGACATCACATGCATCGCGACCAGCCCCAGTCGTGCCTTCTGGTCTCATGCCTGCCCACCATTCTGGCGCTGGGCGTTCGCGGGAGAGCTGCGAGCCGCCAGCAAAACCCAAGTGGTCATGGCCCCTGAGCCTCGGTCTGATCCTCGCTCTCAGCCTTTCTGCCTCAAACAGCCGAGTTTCCGGCTCCAGCTTGCACAAAGCTTCACCACGTACATTGATCCCAATCGCTAAGTCAAGGGTGAAGCTCCAAGCTTTTGCCGGTGGCTTGGAAGGGTGTGATCATCACGGGGCAGGGCGTTACGAGTTCGATCCTTTGGACTTTTGTAACAACTTCCCCGAGCATCTCCCCTGGTATAGAGAGGCAGAGGTAAAGCAGGGGCGCGTTGCTATGTTGGCTTATGTTGGATTGGTTGTTCCTGACTTTGCTCGCTTCCCGGATGCAATCTTCCACCAGAAGGGCACGGACGTTATCAACGCCCACTCAATTCTCTTGAGCGCTGGCTTTGGCAAAGGTCCGATGTGGTGGCTTCTGATGTGCCCTGGCAGAACCATCAACCGATAGTTTACGTTAAAGCCTTAATTAATATTAAGAGTTTTGCACGTCACTTTGCAGCTTTGCGCTCTGCGCCTGTCTCGAGCAGGTTCTGTGGGCTCGCGGAGGCACTGCGTGTTTGGCAGCTTGGTGTGGATTTCGAGCTCCTGACGCTGGACACCGCAGGCGATTATGCCATGGGCGAGCCGTTTTTCCAGGAGGAAGACGAGTTATCGATTCTCAAGACGCAGGAACTGAAGCATGGACGGCTGGCCATGATTGCAGTCGGTGGAGCAATCACTCAAGCTGTTTCATGCAACGCGCATCATTTTCCGTTTGTTCCATGCAGTTCATGCTAGCCTAAAACAACGCCTGGAGAAACTGTCTCAAGTGCAATGGCTGGCATTTCTTACGCCCACAGCCTGCAGATGTAGTAGAAGCTAGTAGCATGTTATGGCTACGGAAGCAGTGGTTATGGAAGAAGCAACTTCAGGCGTCCAACAACTAGCCTAGCATCCTCCCCGTTTTGACGAGTGCTCGGCTTCGATTGCGCGGCCAGCACACTCAGAGCCATCAGCTGAGGCGTTTAAGCCAGTTGATGCAATTCTGTGCATGGCTTGTCAGCTCGGGATTGTATCTTTGAGCTGGAAGCTTCCCAATACGATCTTTAAGTCGCCTTTGAAAACTCGGTGTTGCCAGCATGTCGCCATTGTTACCGTCGGTATAAGCGCGGTGCTACGATGTCGTGTCTACAGCTGAACCAAACCTAGGCCTGCTCGCTTCAGCAACTTATAGCCCGAGACGTGCTGACATCGGTGTTAGATGCGGCCAGGACCACCGTGGGCCTGTTGAGCAAAACCGGAAAATGCCTTTGCAACCACATGCAAGTGCTCCAGGCATGCTAGCAACGGCCAGTGTCCTGCGGCACTTCCGAAGGCAAGAGTGAAGAACAAATCCGGCTGTCCCAGCCAAGCCGATCCCTCGAGTCTGCACGCGCCCGAGACGTTCAAATCCCCATCCTCTCGGTGGCACCTGTGAGTCATTGCAATTCCTTCGCCTGCGTACTCAGAGTCCACTCAGCGTAGCAGCCTAGGCTGCCGAAGCCTTGTGTGTGCTGCCGGCTGGAGGCACGACGGCTGTGGCAGGCGATGCACGAGTTGTCCGTTGACGTCAGCTGAGTGCCTTCGCAAAGCATGATCGTGTCCCGTCAGGAGATTCAATTGATGAGACGCCTCTCACTCCCGAGCCTTCTTTCAGAGACAAGCAGAAGGTTTGCTGCTCAGCGCAGGTTTGCCAGTTTAGTAAGGGCTTTGAGGAAGCTGCCGTGGCCGCTATAGCAGGTCGTGGCCTGCTTCGGGATGGGGACCGATGAGACCGAAGAGGTGTCTCCTGTTGTCGTCCGTTTTGTACCTCTGGGCGACCCTCTCAGAATGCAGAGTGGTGTCAGCGTTGACTTGAGCGAAGCACCGTGCGCATGCACATTGAGGACTTGTGCGCAGAGACAGCGGTTATTGTGGTCCAGGCGCTTTCTGCCATCATAGTGGAGCTGACCGCTTCTGCCATATGGGGTTCCTGTCCTCGCGACAGTGACGAATTCAATTCCGCCGCGCCTTTGCCACCTCTTAAGCCTTGTCAACTGCCGTAGCATTCGACCACGCTAGCTCTCAGTGCTTTCTTCTGTTCCGACTGATGGCTTTGCCCGCGACTTGCTTGCAGATGTTTGCAGCGAAGGCATCTAAGTCTGAAAAGTTTGGGAAGCTTGTGATTATGCGAGTATACCAAGGCCATGAAGACAATGAAAAAGGCGAGAATTCTGTTGGTCGGTAGGATGTGCAGCGAACAGCCGACTTCAGTCAGGACTCCAAGAAAGGTCGTGCGATGAAGGCGCAGCTGTTTGTCGTTATTGGCCATGTAGTTCACTTTGAGAGCGCTCTTCACTTCGTCCCACCCAGCGAGGGGGGTGCAAGGGACCAGTGGCTGACACATCGGCGCGCACTAGACGTTTCCCAGGTGTTCCGTTTGCGGTACGCGGTGGTCCGCGACACTTTGAGAGCATTTCCGCAAGCTCGCGACTGACAGCCTTGCAAGCTCTGCAGGCAAAGCGTGTGACGCAAGTTGCACGGGGAAGGCTTGCCAAATCAATGGTCTTCAGTGGCAAGAAGGCGCCAAGACGCTAGGCTAGAAGGAGTACACTGAGTACACCATGCATTGCTCCGGTCTAGGTTTGATTGGTGAGGATCTGATACTGCCATTGCCGATTGGGCCTGCCAGGCAAAGACGAGTGGCGGTCTCACAAAGGACGTCTTGAGAAAACAGCTGCTATGGTGGGCCTTCTTGCATGCTTGGAGGACCTGCTCATGTCAAATGCCAAGGGCAAAATCGTCTCGAAGCGGCAGTCTGCCCATGGAAAGAAGAGTGGACGGCTCACATGCTTGCGACGGTGCTGCGCTGGCTGCCCTGTTTGCCACGGCATCTGACCAGGTTTCAAGAATATTGAGGGCTGGGTCGAGGCAGTGATGGAGGCCTGGTTGGGCATCCTGCATCGGCAAGCCGGAACTCAGTCAATGTCTGGCAGCTGAAGCCAGACTGAATTCTTGAGGCTCGCGCTGCTTTCAATGCCAAGGGCTTTGTCGCAATTAACGGCAAGACCCTGCAGGGTAAGGCCGGAGGTGAAACCGACTCTGCCTGCCAATTGCAGTGCCGCCACAGCTGCGAGGCGCTCTACGCCAAGGCCAAGACGCTCCTCTCGCAAAGCTCAGATCAGGCTCGGGGAAGCTTGAGAAGGGCTCCGTGGTCCTTTGGTCCAGCCTTGAGGCACGTGCGGTGTGATCCATAAAGTGGGAGCCTCACGGTGAGTGGAAGCAAAAGCAGTGTGATGAGAACAGGAAGCCTCCTGGCTAAGGAGTTTCGTCGGTACATCTATGGCTTTCCCTATGCCTGAAAGCAGACACAATTAATCTTGTACCGGACTGGGGCAAGGGGACATCTCCAGCCTTGGCTCGGTGCAGTGCAAAAGCTCGACAAACCCTGTTTCCATTCAGCTCTCGGCATCCGTACGCTTCTAAAATTGTTTTCTGTGCAGACGAGCGCATCAGGGGTGTGTGGGTTGCCCCCTGCTCGTGACTCGCAACGGAGAACAATGTAGAGCCGATCGAGCTGTGAGGCCTCTTAGTACGAGTTCACGCAGTCAATGCGCGAAGCAACAAGAGCTGAACTTGTGGCGGCATCGCGTTTGCGTTGGGGACTGTCATGATGTTATCCTTCAGTTCTTCAGTCGAAACATGCCTGCAAGAGGTGCTGTTGCAGAAAACGCCGAAGACTACCAGGCTTCCACACGAAGCATATTGAAGCCTCTATGTCCGTGTGCTCCCGCCCCGAGCCTAAGCTGAGATGGTGGTCAAGGTCAGAGAGGTTGGCCTCCGCAGTAGCGGAATGTACCGCGTTGTCCCCGGATCTCGCCAACCAGGACTTCGAAGTACTTTGCGTCGCAAATGGTGTGGAGATTTCTCGCCGGTTTCCAGGACACGGGAGTGAACATGTGCGAGAGTGGGTTGCCGAAGATGTTCTGACCTCGGGGACTGATCCGCCCCTCTAGCAGCATGTGCGTGATGCCTCCGGCAAAGGCGTTGGTTGTGCACTACCAGTGGGTGCGTTGCCCAGCTGTTGCTGGTTGCCAAAAGTCGCTGCCCGCCCCCGTACATCTGTATGGTCCCTCGTTCCGTTTCGTGGTTAAGTTGTCCGCAGCAATCCTCAGTTGTCAAAAGGAAGCTAGTTCACGGCTCAAGATATTCCAAGCTCTTCAAAGCCACAGCGCCCTGTAGGGCTCTCTTGCTTTGCTTTGCACCGTCTTGCTGGCTTATGACCAGAGCACTGATCCATAGGGAGATTGTGCTGCAAGGCTTGTATGTCCACGTTTGTTTGGGGTCTGATGCACAGCCTTTGCAAAGCTGTGCTCTCTGTTAATATTACAGCAAGTGTACACACGAAATTTCCTGGCATAGTCAGTCGAAAAGCCAGATTCTGCAGTAGGAGCTCAACCACTCACGAAATTTTCGAGCCAAGGTCGATAAGAAAAGTGAAATGCTCCAAGCGAGCAGCAGTTGGAGACGGATTCGCCGATCCGGCACACATGTAGTGAGAGATAACAAGGAGCCCCACTGCTCCTGCAGAGGCCAGGTTAATCCTTACACCATTCATGTGGTCGAGCTGCCCAATACTTGTCATCAACACTTGCGCTCAGAACTTGGAAATAATGTTGTGGCATGATTTTTGCGCCCACGGAAGCCTATGCAGCGGGAATTGATGTTCTGCTGCAGCACGATGCACCGATGTTACCAGGTCCCGCCGACCTCTGTGAGGGAGGATTCCCAGTCTCTGGACGAGACTTTGGCCGCCGTCTTAAGACCCGCAAGCCTCACAGCTTGTAGAAATCCTGCTGCATGCGGCATCGAGGTTGCTGTGACTCACGTGCGGATTCAGCTGCCAACAGCTGAGCACGAGGAGTTGCTGATTGACCTGAGAACTCAGCGAGCCGGAACCATAGTGCACGAACCCTCTTGAGCTCGTTTTTCTGGGAGTAAATCACGCCCTGCAAGCCAGGTCACCGGAAGCTCATCCTGGTACCAGGCAAGTCATCTTTGCCAGCCTCGAAGCCTTCGCCCCTTGGGCTTCTCCTTCCGATGTTCAGGGTCTCCCGGCTCTTCTTCGGGACTCTGCCGACGGCTCCGGGGGCTTCCGGCGACTGGCCCTGGCCGTGGGCCCGGGCCTTCGACTGCCTGGTGCCCAGTGTCCGAAGCCTGGGGGAGGGGGGGGCCTTTGCACTTTCTGTTCATACATTCATGCTCAGTTCATCGAGACTGGCGCTCATTTTTGCGAGTGCAAATAGTAAAGAGTAATGGCAGCTGTTTCTGCTTGGGCCCGATAGCAGACAGTGTCAAGATACACAGCAGCACGACATTATTGCACAGTGGCATCCGGTGTTGCCGGTGTAGCACTTCGGATGAGTTCGCAAGTCAAGCCTGCCATGAAGAGGCAGCTGCGGCGAAGGACTGCTTAGACGACATTGGTACATGGCAACATGCTGGTGCTCTTCCTTTGCGACAGCCTGCTTCAAGCTCATAAAGGTTCCGGAATCAAGCTTCACTGTCTAAGGGACGATCAGCCCTTCTTGTCATGCCTGTGCATTGCAAGCGGCGGAGGCTTGGTGATGCCAAACCCGCAATCAGCAGTTGGTTTGGCAGTCCGTGCGCTAGCAACTGAGCCACTAGTGCAGGAAAGCCTGGCCAACAACCCAGCTGTGCGAGTATTGGTACTGCAGGCGGCCATGAGCACCGCCAGGTGTAGATCTCACGGGGAGCAGTTCCCAAACATCACCCGAGATCGTCGACAGTCCAAGCTAGTAAAGAACCTCGAGACGCAGTGGACGATCTGTGACCTTGAAGACGTGATCATGAACAGTGCCCAGGGAACTCCAGTGCTGGAAGGTTGTCAGTTGCGACATCCTCAGGGCATTTATGGTCAGCGAGGGGACCATCTTCATTTTCGGCAAGACATAGCCATAGCGGCAGGTGACGAGCTTCTCAAGGCTGCTCGAAGGACAGCGCTAGCAAAGTATCCGGACATGCAGACGGATGGAAGCATCTTGCTCGTCTTGGCAGCAGGCTGGAACGCAGATAATGCGACTATTGACTGCTTGGACTCGGATGGGCACGCTTGGCGCAAAGCGGAGATTGTTGCGCTAGCAGAGCTTTGCGCTTTGAATGGTCATCCAGCTTCTGTCTTCAGGGCCAAGTTCAAACAATTGTTGCGAAGACTGCAGGGGGAGCACACTGCATTCTTGCTACAGCCAGTTGCCGACATCCAGGCCATTGACCCCTCTAAGGCAACTGAGGTACAGCATACTTTGGGGCACAAACTCAACTCGCCCGTCAAGCATCGGAGGGCAGACAGCCTCATGTGGCAAAGGGAGTCTAAACGCCAGTGCCGCAAGACAGAAGCTGACAAACTTGCCGATCTTACGGGAGTACCGAGGGAGATCGCCCAGTCCATCATCGATGCGATGGGCAGTGTCGAAAGTGCCCTTCAGCATCCCATGTTTCAGCCAAACCCCAGAGTTGACATGGGATCCTTTAAGCAGACACTCCGGTGTCAAGTTGAAGTGATCAATTTGGATGAGCTGGATGACGCTGCAGCCCATGATTAAAACAAGAAACACAGTCACCCTGCCAGAGGCTTGCTGCAAGTAGCTATCAGCTTTGCGAGGCCTCTTCCGCGGCAGCTGTTTGCAGAGGATGGAGTCAGCGAGAGTGCTGAGGCCCCCAATAGGGCAGTCCGGCATGGAAGGGTCTGCAAGATTGACCCCACTTGGGTTTGGGCCTACCCGCCGAAAACTGTTGAGTACAACGCCTCTAACCTGATTCCAGGTAGAGCTTGTCCCCTCTTATATATCATGCGAAGTGACACTGTTTCGCATGTTTCCACACCATCTTCTGCAAGGTGGTAGCTCAGCTCCTGGCGCTCTGGTTTAGCCAACGGCACAGCCTGGAGGAAAGTCTAGGGGGGCGGCGGTGCCTTGCTGGTTTACGGCTTTGGGAAATTCCAGGTGGTGCACAGTTGGTTAAGCACAATAAGTTCCAGCCCTGACGCTGGAGTGACAGGAGTTGATAATGTTCTATGATTCTAAGCCAGTAGTATCATACCGTCTGGCACAGGCTTCCTCGACGGTCGGATGCCTTGGCTTATAGTATCTAGTGTGCTATACAGAGTGGCAGAATCAACCATGACTGCAGTGCTCCGTCTCCTCGGAGGACATGCAAGCCGCACTCCGTCCTCGCCTGAAGCTGTCTGCCGGATTGCTCGATGGCCTCCCTTTAGTTCTTCTCTGTCAACTCAAGTGCCCCTGTCCTATCGGCAGCATGTTCAAACAGAGCAGCAACCACACCAGCAAGCCTAAGCAGGTTCCTGCATTCCAGATTTCGGAGGTCAGCAGCCTTGTCTGACCTACTTCGCATCAATGGCCGGAGACTTGCATCCTACTGTGGCGCTCCAGACCATCTGTGGTACTTCTCTCTGCACGACGAGGATCTCCTAAATCGTCTGGACAAGATGGGCAAGACCTTGATGGAGGTGTTGCATTTCTCGTACTCCTCGTGCTGTCACGGCCTGTGTTAGAGGATTATGTATGATGTGCCGCGCCAGGCCTTGCGACAACACTGGTCAAGATTGCTGCACCTTCCGGGAAGCAGCCTTGCGCGTGAAACCCGGATGACTGGACTGAGGCGATACAGTCGTGCATGTGTGTGTGTGTGTGCGTTATGTGCTCAGACTGTCAAGTCTATTCGAGGTCTGGTGGCAACGGCAGCGCGGTTCTGCAGGAGGCGAAGGTAGCCATTTCACTCGCTTGCTGAAAGTTGCCGCACAGGTACCTTAGTAATCCGAGAAACACATCACTGAACCGAAGATGATGATGCCAAACTTTGCTTGCCATCGTGGGCATCATGAGTCATGAGTGTGGCTGGCTGAACTGTGGGCGGCAGTTTTTTGGGGTGCAATCCCGGATGCGGAAGGGGAAACCACTAAGAGTGAGTGACAATCCCCAGTGTGAGCAATCAGAGGAGATCCATGCTAGAGAACGTTGCCCCAAGCCAGGAAATTCTGGTGCAGCTCTTGCTTGCAGGGCGAGGGGACTGCCTGGCAGCCGTGCGCTGTAAGAAAGGAACGTGCATGCAACAAATTGTGAACCTCACCCTCTTGTAGAGTCTGTAGAGACGATCAAAAGAATCGGATCAGGTACTGCCTGCTGGCCACCTTGCCCAGTTCTGCGAGCCGCTCGACTTTACATTGCAGTTTTGTTGCACAGCGGGTTTGCCGTAGCTCCCGGTGCTGTGACTTTCACGGGCATGGCGAAGACCCTCAGTATCTCAGGCTCGTCAAAGTCACCAAGCTTTCATTGGAGCTGCTGGCAGTGGAGCGGTTCTGCTTCGAGGCGGCCTTTTTCTTTGCATGCTCCGGGCCTGTCCGTTTTTAAGCTCGGTCAGGAATGCTGTGTAAGCTCTCAGCGGCACAGCTGCTCCACAACAGTCTCGACAATGGGCCATTCGTTTCTTGAGCGCCGCAGCTCAGTGCTGGGACTTGTATTCTATGCGGTTCATCGACGGATGTGGCTGAATAACCGTGACTCGGGTTCGGACGTGTTCGACCCTCTGCTTTTCAGCGTGAGGCCTCTGCTGATTCGTGCGCTGCATCTCCGCTGCCGAGCTTCTTACTCTTTCAATAGCTGGCGGACGGCTCTTCGCATCAATCCTCCATCGCATCGCGGGAATCACAGGCACAGATGGCTTTGGTGTATCTTCTTCATCGGCTTTTGGGCCGTTCCTCCCATCCGTTTCTTGTCGAATCTCTTGGAAGTCCCTCCCCGTGAACCTTCGGCTTACACGTGCCGGTTTTTTGGGCTGTTCCCCTCTTCAGGGGCCAAGCGTGCGAGCATGTGTCTATTCTATTCTCCGTAGGTCTACTTCGGCAACTTACTTCCCCTCTGGGGACCGTGATTATAGCTGAGCTTAGAGCACATTCCGCCGCATCTTTTCAGGAAGTGGCTTAGTGCTCAACAAACCATAACGAACCCATGTGGAAGGCCTCGCTGGAGAAGATTGCCACAGCGAAACATTCGACTGTGACTTTCATACTGGTCGCCTGCGCCCCGGGAATACAGAGTGTAGGATGTGCATCTGCGCTGTGGCCTACTGCCAACGGCCAACTTGGAGCCAGTGTCGCCAGGAAGTCACTGGGCAGATTTCGGCGCTGCAGCTGAGCGAGCATGAAACTTGGAATTCAGCATTCCTTCACAGAATATGGGGAGCTGTACACGACTGTAAACTCTCAGACGGTACCATGTTCAGGCCTGATGAATGGCTCGTGTCTTCACGATTTTTGCAGCAAAGGCTGGTTCGCGCCGCATCCGGATCTGCCCGGCTCGTGTTCAGTCGGGGCCTTCATCAGTTTGCTTGCTTCGCCTTCTCCTTCGTTGCTCGTGGGATCTCCCCCGTCTCTCCTCCCCTAGCATGGAGCTCCAGGGCACGTCACGGTCTCGGCTGGTTGCATCATCTTGCAGCTCAGTTTCACTGGTCAGGTTGGTTTCCCGGCCTCCTGCCCAAGTTAGCCTTGACACGCTCCCTGGGCGAAGTCCTCCTGCCACAGTCGTTGCGAGAGGCCGGCCCCGCTGATGTTCGTTCGTTGTGTGACGTGTGACGTGTGGAGAGGCCGACCTCAGCTCACGGTCTGCCCGGGAGCCCAAAAGATGTCCTCGGCCGGCCGGAGTATGAGAGCAGCGCGAGCAGCAGCGCAGGCGCCAACGCCTTACCGGGACACTTTCGCGCCAGGAGCTTGAGCTGCGAGGCTGTTAGGGCATGCAGGGAAGCAACGGCCGAACGGCTCGCCAGACCGAAGCCTACAACTTTTGACCGCAAAGGCTGGGCCATGCAACGCTACAATGTTGCCGAACATTGCCAGCCCAGCCTCTCCTCTTGAGCCCTTTGGTCGGGGACTGATGTCGTGGGCGAATGGAGATAAACGTTCAAATCAGAAAACCTCTTAGAGGGTCTGGTGGTTTGCTGAGCTTTGGAGGCACCAGAGGCTCACAGTGTGGGGTCACGAATGCTGAGGCTGGGATGAAGCTGCCAAACGGGCCAAGCTCAAGCAGGCCTGCAACTGCAGTCTCGTTCATTGGTCGTGGTTCATTTCGCGTCAGTCTTCGAAGGAATGGTGACAAAGCTCTGCACATCGACTGGGTGGCCCACTGAGCGGAAACAGGTGGGCTTCTATCCCCAGCACATCCGAAATTGAGGAAAGAAATCTTGCCGAAGCTCATGCCTTTCTGAAATCAGCCCACGCCAGTGCCTTGGGTCCTTCTTGGCGACCGTTCGCTGATTTTGTAATGGCTGCGTGAGGCATGGACGGATGAAGAACGACGTTGGCGGACCGTGGCAACCGCCAAGCCGAAGCACTCGGAAGTGCTTGCAGGAGATTCAGTCACCTGTTTCACACATCAGGCCACGGACCCACGATGCTTTGTTGCTGCTGGTAACTGCCGACGAGGCACTCGAGACTCTGTCGGTGCGGAGTGATTTTCATGACATTCTGCACTATCGGCAGCGACTCGATTGCAGTCAGGCGCTAGTCCAGCGGCACTATGCTGGACAAGCGGAGTCTGTGCAGTGCTTCCACCTGAACCATACCGATCGGCAAGTTGGAGCCCAAAGCCGCAAAGAGACCTGTGCAGTGATACCACGCGCCATCACGCGCCCATTCCCAGGGCATGGCTCCCTTGGAAGCACTCCTTGGCCGCTAGCGGCTCAGAGCTCTCCGCGATGAGTCTCGAGCTTCCTTTTCTCTCAGGCCGGGAGGCTTCAACGGCATCCAAGCAGGTCACCATCGTTCTCTTTGGAGCTGCGACCTTGGCACAGAAAGGGTTCGCAAGTTGAAATACTTGAGAAGGTCGCTTTGCCTGCATCGCCTGCAGGTGGGATTTGTTACGCCATCCAAGCTTGAGGACCTGGTGGCCAGGGCGTACATTGCCGGCATTCGGGCGCCTTCCCAAGCTGACAAAGTCAAGGCCATTCCGTACTTAGCGAGTTTCCGAGGCGATTCTTGTGGCGCCTGAGCCGCTGGCATTCTTACGATGCATTCGTCGGACTCTCACGAAGCTCCACGAAGCTCGTAGGCTACAATCTTGATTCATGGTTGCACTGGCAACCAAGGCATCACTACTCGAGTCTCCACCGAGTATATTCATGCGACACTGCTTTACGCTGCTCAGCTGTCATACGGTAGAGGTTCAAGTTTTCTGCCATGAACAATCGTCTGTCGTAAGTAGGTAGCCGTGAAGCACGGTCTTTAGCAATGAGTGGCCACCAGTCAGGCTTTCTCTTATTCAATGACGGTGTAGCATCGAAGGTCCGGAGTGTGCAATCCTGCGCATGCGTCTCAGCTGCTGCGGTGTTCTTGGCAAGCAAGTAGCCGGTCTCGAATCATCCAGTTGAGCGAGCATTCCAGTGGGAAGCACATGGAAGCAACTGTCAAGCGGAAATTTAATTTACAAAGGGCACGGATATGGATTCTTTCGTTCACACGTCCAAATTATATAATTAAATAAACTCGAAAGATGAGAAGGCCTCTTGGAATCAAGCATGTGTCCATGCTAGACAT